ATCGTTTTCAGAAGAATGAAGTGGATGATACAATCGATTTTGGAGACGGTGTTGGGTTAACGAGTGAAATCAATTTTGACGTGGATTCGGCCGAGATTGACTTCGGTGATGAGGGTGGCGGAATTGAAATTGAAGTTGTTGGCGACGATCAAGGTGAGTTCGAGTGTGAATTCAGAGGTGATTTCCAAACAGCCTGTATAGTAGATTAGTACCGAATTATTGACAATGTTGAATTCAGGACAATTGGAAGACGGTGTGGCGCGCGGTGAAGAGGCTTTAATGTTATTGGAAAATATCGAATCTCAGAAACTGATTCTATCCGAATTGAATGAGGTTACATCCGAAAGAATTTTCCAATTTTGAAACTGTTTTTTTAGATTAATCTGAGTTTGCCTTTTAGTTTGGAAATGTTTAAATTTCTTGGGGTCCTTTTGATTCATTAATGTCTCGTTTAAGTTACAAATATTCCTCACATCGAGACGAACTGACGAGATGTGTGAGAGTTCATCGGATATCTACATCTCTGGAATGGAGGATCGACCAGCGCTCCTAAAAGCGGTACGTTTTTTTGGTAATGTGTATGATGTAGACAGGTAGTTAAACATTTTGAATTCCACATACAAGCCTAAAATGAACCATCTATTAAGAATTCAAAACACTTTGTGACATCCACCCTTCACGGCTGAATGAGATGAAAAATTTGATTTTTCGATTCTAAATTTCAAACTACTTATTCGTGCCATAAACACACTGAATATCACTGTGCATAATACGTGAAATTACACTTCGTATTGTCCAACAGTTTAAGTTCAATTCAATTGCGTTTCCTAATTTTCAGATTGAAATTTCACAAATCGACGCTTGGCTGCAACAGGTGAACGGTGTTTTAGCGAAGCTGAATGATCCACAAAAATTGCATTTGTTCAAAATTCGATCTTCACCTCAGTGAGTTTTATGTGATTGTTCAATCTATGGTTGTGTATCGTGATGCGATAAGATGGCTGGCGCTTTGAAATCTTTAAGAGTAACAGTTGTACGATATCAACTCTCAGTTATCTTTCACCATTTACTACGATGTCAGCAGCGTATTGACTGCTTGTTGAGGGACAGTAGCAGCCTGTGATTGAATGCATCCATCAGTTGACTGAATTTTTGAAAAATACTTATGATTCACTCGACAGCAATTTTCAGTTATGTGGAAACTCTAGTAGAGAATCTCGAACAGAAACGTTCAATTGAAAGTCGATATGAGCGATTGCGCACTCTGATGGTTGAAGGGAGTCAAGAAGCCAGAGAAGCGGCCACAAAAGCGCAGTCTCAACTCAAAGACGTGTCGATCGCAACCAGAGTGCTCCAGAAACAAGTACGTTGATTAAGAAAATCTTTGTTTTACATGCTTGAACTGGAAATTATGCTAGATTTAGCGATTTATGCGAATGTTTCTCGTCGATATTAGTTTGTGAATTGTTTGAGATTTTCAGCTAGAAGAGGAAATCTCAAAGAAATATAATGGACGAACAGTCAACATCATGGGAGGAATTCAAGCAGCCCTGATGGCCTCATGATTTCTGAGGAATCTGGTCTTATGATGATAGTCCTTTAAAAATCGATGTGATAATCTTTTATGGATTCTTTGATGTTGTTCCACTTTGCGTATCATAATACTGATTGTTATATCCTTTAAAGGTTGTGGAAGAATTGTGGAGTGTGGTCTTTTTTTTTTT